AAATTTAGCTTCAAATTTCTAAAATTCTAAAGTTCTAAATATTGGATTTTTGCATTTACATACAAAGTTCCAAATTTCTGAACTTCCAAAGTATACAAAATTTAGAATTTTTGAAATTTCTAAAATTTGTGATTTACCAAGTGTAGGAAAATAGATCTTAGCACTTCAAAGAGCTAAATGTCTAAATCTGTAAATTTTTTGATTTTTAAATTTAAAATTCTAAAGTTCTAAAAATTTATGTTTCATTTAAATTAATGTAACCGAGACGTGAAACTTCATAGGCATAAATGCTTGAAGTCAAATCGAAAGTGAAAAATTTGTTTGTAAAGTTGTTAACAATGCAATCTTGTCATTAATAAATAATTACTAACCACACCCACAAAATGGCATCCAATGTGTCTTTACATGATTTGGAAGATTTCATTCGTGAAAAGATTGTAGAAGAAGGTTGGACTCACTGCCGTCTTAGTCTGTACTTGAAACGAATGTATCCCGGTATACGTGGCTTCAGTGTTCGTTCAATAGAGAGATTTTGCAGTGATAAAGACATCCACAGAACTAGTAGAATGGATGGCTATAATTTACAACAAGTTGTCTCTGAAGCTGTTAGAACTGTAAGTATAGTATTACTAAAGTTTTGTACAATGTCCCTCATTAATTAGGCACACTTATATTAATATACCGGGGCGTGTGGTTTGTAACAATAATTTTGATTAAAACATGCCAGTTATAAAGTTTTTGTTGTAATGGATTGTAATTCTAGGTTGGTCCTGCTTATGGGCGAAAAACTATGACAGGTTATCTTAGAAGTCAGGGAGTCCGCATCAGTGAGACAAGAGTAGGACAAGCACTTAGTCTAGCAAACCCCATATACCACCACAACAGAAGGGAAGCTACTACGAGGTCAATGAATCCCATACCATACAGTGCGGACTACTTTGGTCACAAAGTTCACATTGGCCAAAATGAGAAACTTGTCTTATATGGGGTTACTCACATTTGTGCTATCGATGGCTATAGTAACAAAATTGTTGCATTTATAACAAGGAAGTGGATATTGGTCCGGCAGCCGGACGCCTACTGTGGGGCTATAGATCCGGCAGTCCGTTGTTCTCCGTAAAACAGCTTGTGCGCATGTGCAATAGTGCAAAATGGAAC